TGTTCTATAATCTTTTCATAGATTGCTAGGGTTGTTTTGTTTTATAAAGGACCCTCTGTGCAAACTGGTTTGGAAAAAGAGATGCATGAATTTTCTATCGAGTTAAAAATGGTTTAGAAACTGGGAAGGAATTGTCTGTTTCCTTTGGGACCATTCTGCAGTTTTTCCAGCCAACTGGGACAACCAGATTCACTTCACAATAGTGTGGTTCACTTAACATCCATATGATTCACTTAATGATTGTGGTAAGAAACTATTGATTTCCTTACTGACTGTGGTAAAAATGGACATAAAATTGGGTTGTCAGCTTGCTTAATGACTGCATCTCTTAACAACCTTAATTCCAGCCCCAATTGTGATTTAAGTTGAGGATTACCTGTAGAACAAATGGTTATAGCTTGCCCTTGCCTGGGTTATTAGTACATGATCCAGCCTTCTTTACAATATTATTTGTAACCTTTTTAGCAATTACAAGTTTATGTAACTGCTAAATAGTCACAAATAAAAGTACAACCATTATCACCAGTTCACCTCAGTAAACTCTCAATGAGAACATCATCGATAAAGGGGAATGCTTGCAGCTCAGGGCTGAAATGAAGGGTCCTTGGTGCTCTCTGAGCTTGGTTGTTTTCTTGCAGATGTTTCATTACCCAAACTAGGTAACATCATCAGTGCTGATGTTACTTAGTTTGCATAATGAAATGTCTGCAAGAAAACCAAGCTCAGACAGCACCAAGGACTTTGTGTTGGTTTAGTGCCACTGTTTTCTGGATAAAAGCATGCAACTGAACCAGTTTATAATAACTGTCATTTTCAAAAATCATTACCCTCTGCTAGCTTAATTTGTAAAAGAAAAAAAAGTATTATCATAACATATCCAGCAGTTTGGAATTACAAAGTACCTCTCAAGCTTGTCAATCATGCTATTCCCAGCAGCTGTTCTGTACTCACCAGAATTTAGGTCCACCCCCACTAGTTGTCCTGACTCAGCATATTCTGCTTGAACTTTAACTAGTGTTTCCTGAGGATCATAGCCAGCGTTCTGAGCAAGTACCTGTAAGAATAAAGAAAAAAAGTATTTATTTTTTATTGTTCTCTCCATCAAGAAATGAGCTATTTGGTATTTAGTGGAGATAAATGTGCAATATATACTTAGAACTGACTGTTCTTTCCCCTATCTTCCATTTTCCTTTCAGCTGTATCTCTGCTGACATCTGGAAAGTCTTATTGATGGTAGCTACAGAGCTCAAGAATGCTATTAGATGTTTTTGTTCAGAAGCTTCCTACCTTAGGGATAATCAGCAATGCATCAGCAAATGCCTGAACTCCCAACTGGCTTCTTCCTTTCACATTGGGCTTATGTTTCACAAGGGCATCAGCTATTGCCACCTCCAGGGCTCCAGCACCTGGAACCACGCAGCCTGGAAAACCAAAAATCATTTGTTAACATCAATCTTGCCACAAATGCAAGGCAGACACCCAAGGATATAGTGCTTAAAAAGGGTAAATCCCCATTAAATATAAAACTTTTGGAAGTTCTCAAGTCTTCTTAAAGGAAGAGTTTTAAGTCTGGAATACTAAGATTCAAACAGTCTCTTTAAACTCAACACATGCTGTATACCTCTGATGTTTATACAATCATCTATGTGGTAATCTTTTATTTTACCTGCATTCTCTCCTCCCACAATACATATATGTACCTTTAAAATAGTTTAAGTTGAAAGGCAGGACAATACTAACTATAATTATTTTTAAATATTGAAATACTCATTTACCTGAGGTGCATTATTATGCTTCAGTTTAGAAAAGAAGGGATTTTTTTTCCCTACAATTGCCTTAGCAGTGTATTGTAAGTTGCAACACCTATGTTCATTTAAGATGGCTTAATTATACTAGCACAGGCACTACTAGGAGCCAGAGCTGCTGTGGTAGTTCTATTTTATGAGAAAATTATACCATCACCACCATCTCAATTATATTGGTACTCACATAGCCAAAACACTCCAATCACACACAAGGGGTATTATTGGGTTTATCTAAATTTAGCAACACAAAAGTATCCTGAAGCAAAAATGCTTAACGAAGATTGTTCTTCCTTCCACAAGAAAACCTTGAAATATGAAGGATGCTGAACTTAGCATTTTAAAATACAATTTCCTGCAAATACATTTTTTCTTATTTGAGACCTGTCTTAAGCAACACCATTCATGGAAGTTTTAGATTCCACTGTATTCTCCGAAGTAAGATTACTGAACCAACATATGTAACTGTGAAATATTAAGATTAAAGACCAGAGAAATGCAGATTCCAATCCACAGACAAAGAAGCTCTCGCCATTCCAATCTGCCCCTAAACATTGCTTTTGTTGGAAAAATCAGAGGACTTGTATGTATTCCAATTTGAGCTCCTGGGCCTCTTTTTAATAAAAGTGAATGTTCAAAGTGCTATTAACCAAACGTATTAATTGAAGTAATATTAAAATAAAACTTCATTTAATCAACTGGCTACCCTGAGGCTATTAAAATATGGAGTGCTTCTAGCCCAAACTCACCATCCTCAATGGCATTTTTGACAGCACGCAGTCCATCTCTTATAGCATCCTTGATCTGTGTCAGGGTGTGCTTATTTGGCCCCTTGATCAACAGAGTCACAGAACGAGGGTTTTCACACTTCTCAATAAAAGTGAACTTCTCTTCACCCTGAGCAGAGAGAACAATTCAAACATTATTTAAGGACCATAAATGCTAAGTTATGTAATATATATTGGATTTTCTATAGTTTGAACAGTAAATGTATTGTATTCTTATTACTATGCCTATTTTTATTTCTTTAAAAAAGCTGTTTTTGTTCTGTTCAGTAATATTTAAGAATTCCAAGATTAATTTATGCATTATATTTCTAAGCCACCCATCTCCCTCAAAGGAGCTCTAATTCTATGAAATATTCTCCCATCCATCCATCTACCCACTCGGCCCTTGAATAACATTTAACACTATTGCAGCTAGGTATTAATTATAATGCTTGCCATAGAAATCAAACTGGAAAGAATTAAAGACTTTAAAAATCAAACTCACCAAGGTATATTCATAGACAAGACCTGCATGTCCCAGGCAGTCAATGGACAGGTCATCAACAGAATTCATAGCAACCCCTCCACATGCCAGTGTTAACCTGAACATAATGAATAAATATGTTTGGATACTTCTGTTATAATCTGGGTTCACATACTGCAGTTTGCTCGATTTGGCTTGGCAGGTTGTGAACCCAGCTGTGATTTATTCAGTAAACCAGGGCTTAGGCTGGTGGCAATACCTGCTCCTCTTTTTAAATGCAACCAGGAATATTAAGCAATCCCTTTGTTCTAAAAAAGGAATCAATGTGTGAATATCTTTATGTAATACTAATAATTCAAAGTGATTAAAGTAGTTAATTTATACCAGCATTCTAAAATTATTATGAAGAAATTCTAAAGAAAACATTTTTTATAAATTTCCAAATGTTTTCCAAACATCTAGGATTAGGAATCATAACATAAGAGAAGATCACTCCTCTCAAAACTTTTGGATGTCACTTTTCTTTTCTGATTTACAGCAAGATGCTATTATTAGTGGCTAAACATTTTCAAAGGAAAACAAATAGCGCTGAAAGTCCAAGGCAGTGCCCAGGTTCTCACAGAAACTGACCTCTCCATATTTCTTCGCTTTGCTCTGCGCAGTGCTACTATCCCTTCTTTTGCAAGTGCATCCAGGGAGAAAGGATCAATCCCCTGAAAATACAGAATGCAATAAACAGATCTACTCAGGTTTAAAGCTTAAACTGAAAAATTAAATAAAGGCCACATGCAACAATACCATGATTTAATGGACCAGGGTTCCTATTATGGCCAAATGTTATTAATAATGAATTTATTACCAACTTATTTGTATAATAAAATGTCATCTGACTCCAAGACTCTGGGTCGTTTAACATAAAAGAACATAAACTGCCACAAATGGTCATTTAAATAAATTGCCCTATTTCTGATAAAATGGACCTTGGCCCACAAAATCTGGATGCAAATTTTGTCAACTGCACCGGTACTCTGCTAAATGGGAGGCAATTAAATCAATGTTTCATTCTATTTGGCTCATTTTGTGTTATAGACCCATTTGTTAGGCAATCATCTCACTCAATACCAAGCCCTTCTCTTACCTTTTGGTTGATCACAATAAAACCTTTATTTGAATCCCCAACAACTGATTTTTTCAGCTCTATGATTTTATTCACTCTTTCTTCAATGAACTTTCTTTCTGCTTTAACAAGCTTTTCTCTTTCTTCTGCGCTCTTATAAAAGAATCCAGAATTCACCTCTCTGGAAAAAAAAATATGCTGTCAGAATTTAAATTAGACAGGAGACTAAAAAGTATCCAACCCCCTGGTTAAAACTTAGCTCCCAGTGATTACATGGACAAAACCCAGGCAGTTCTCTTGGCAACTATACAGAAAGTTTCCCATTGTCACTTTCCAGGATTTTTCCATCTCCAAGTCTAGCATATTATCCAAGCTTCTGTGGTGTCTCCCATTCAAATACTAACCAGATTTGGCCTGATTTGTTTTCAATCCCAGTAAGCATATATGTGAAGGTAAGGGGAATCAGAAGCAACTGACACCAGAAATGGTCAGAGTGGCTTTCGGATAGACCCAGAAGATCCCACAAACCAAATATCAACCCCCACAAATGGTGGATTAAACAAGACCAGTTTGCAAATCCTAATTAGGGCTGTAAGTTATAATGTATACATACGTTTTTTCATACTCCAGTGACACATTGCAAGTAAGGATGTAAGCATCTTCAATCCTTTTCCTCATGTCAGGATGACGAGCGCCATGGTCCAGGACAAGTCCTCTTATTAGGCTGTAAAAGATATTTAAAATAGCTTTTTAAGAAGTTACTTTCAGTTGTTTATCCTTTCTAATCCCATGCATTTCCTGCTAAAATGGGAGTCCTAGGAACAACTTTGATGTGTATCCTTCAGACCCATGCATACTATTTTAGTACAGCACGTCACTAGACAAATCTGAGGCAAATTTTATTCTTGCATGGTGTCTGACTCCATTAGCCATCGCAAAAGCCAATGCAGAATTCACCCATGCTCTCAGCTCTAAATACTTCACTTATAAAACTTTGGCTTTAATTCCTACAACAGCTCAGAACAAAAGATAACTATGTAACCTTATCAATGTTATAAAGCAGAAACAATGTAGCACATCTTCCACCTTAAGACACACACACTAATGTCTTGAACAGTAACTCCCACAATTCATGTCATGCTGGCAGAGAATTCCACAAGATCCAATATTTGGAAAAGGCCAATTTAGGAAAGGACAAGAGGGCATGATGTGGGAAAGTGATGATTCCACCAGAATGAATATGTAAGACCAATACGTTTCAAGCCTTCAGGAATAGATCCCATTCATGTTATACCTACGTTGTATCTGTTTCAGATTTGTGCTTCATCTCCATTATTTCAACCATATAAAGATCTATGGGCTCATTTGGTTTTCTGATTGCCAGAATCGAATCGACTACAGCCTTCAAAGAAAAGAGAACAAGCCTCATCAAACAGGACTTCCAGCATTTAGCAACTCAACAACACACACAAACCCCTTCAGGGATCCACTTCACTTTAATTGTGGGAATTGTATAGAATTTATTTTTGGAGAACACAAGAAATCAATGACTCACCTCAGTTAAAATGTCAGCAAGCTCAGTATGGACCTTTGTGTGGAGGGAAGTTCTAGCAACATCTAGAAGTGTTTCCCTGTCCATTTCCTTTGCTACTTTGACCTGCTCCAGGACCTGAAGAGCCTTTTCTTTTGCAGCTTCAAACCCTTCTGTAACTAACCGAGGATGTAACCCCTAATACCAAAGAAATAGTTTTTTTTAAAAAAAACATGCACACATATAAAATTCCATACTCCGATTATAGGCAAAAACCAAGCAATCAGTTTCCACAAGCAATTTCTTTTTACTGTAGAAGGGAAAAAACTAAAAAAAAAAACCCTCTCCAGACATACTTTAAATCCCCTGGAGCAGGTAATGAAACTACCCAGTTGCTGCAAGCTGAATAGCATATACATTTAATAAATTATTATACCATTATTATTATTTATGGTAACGGCTGAGAGAAAAGAAAACAATGGAAAATTTGCCCACACAACAATAGACTCAATCAAGTGATTTCAGGGATAACTATTTTACTTTGTTTTAACTTTTCTAGATGATCTGAGGCTGCGCATGAAGACACTTTGTACTGTCCTTTTGAATACATATGAAAGGAAAAACAGTCCTTTCAACGCAGAGGGTAAAGTACAGCTTATTCTTGCACAGAATTATGCCAAAGGAACTATGGAGCTCATCTGGATGTTCACTGTGCAACAGATTTGGAAATTTCTCACAAACTGTGGTCAAAAGTCAATTATATACTACCCCTAATCTGAATAAATGAAAGTTTAGAGCCATAGGAAAAACAGGAAGAATAAAATTAATCTGTTAACTATGTTTCAAAGTTTGAAATTTTAATCTAGTTTAGGTATATTCACTTTGATTTAACAAAATAGTAATGTGCAACTAAGAATCTCGTTTTCATGGCAGCATCAATAATTTCTCACTCAGCTTTATTTAAATCTGAAAGCAAATTAAAGATGCCCTCATGCAGACTACAAGTACGTAACACTGCCACATACCTCTGAAATATAGAGATCTGCCTGCTTGAGCAGCTCACCAATTATGAGGACATTAGAAGTGGTCCCATCACCAGTGATGTCATCTTGTGCTGTTGCTACTTTGGCTATCAAGGAAGCTGTTGGATGTTGGATTTGCTGATGGATGCAAAAAGAACAAAAAAGAGTATTATCAAAATGTCATTCCTTTGCTCAGTCACCCATGACCTCTTGTCTGGATTACTGCAACATGCTCTACATAAGGTTCCTTATGAAGAGAATTCAAAAGCTTCAGCTGGTGCACAAGGCAGCTGCACATGTAGTTAAGTAAAGGGTATCAGATATTCAACAGACGTATAACATTACAGTATTGCTACATGAGTTGCATTGTTGCCAGTGTGCTTCTGGGTGCAATTCAAGGTGCTGATTATCATCTTTAAAACCCTTCATGGCTTGAGACCAAGCTACCTAAGGGACTGTCCTCTCCCAGTCATTTCTAATCATCCAATTCAATGCAGCAGGTTAAGCATGTTACGGTGCCTGTAATTTCTCTGCCTTAGCCTCTGCCCTCTGGAACATTCTCCCTTCAGAGATCAGGATGACCCTATATCTGTTGGCTATTCATAAGACCATGAATACTTGGTTATGTGCTTGGAGCTCCAAATGTGTTAAGGTGTTTAATTATATTAACATCTATGGCAATAGTTCCACTCAACAACTGTATGTATTTGTATTTATGCTTTATGACAGTGGTGGCGAACCTATGGCACGGGTGCCAGAGGCGGCACTCAGACCCCTCTCTGTGGGCACGTGCACCGTCACCCCAGTCCTAGGCCTTCAGCTAGGTTTTATAAAACCTTTTCGCTTTAGGCCTCCGCTGCTGTGTGCAAAAAAAAAAAAAGAGGTTCAGTCAACTTCTCACGGGGAAAAAAAGATCTTGCAAAGTTGGAATTGATTGAAATTTTTAGTCCTACCCAGTCTGCCGTTACCACCATAGCCACGTGCACCCAATGGGCCACACCCACCCAGCACCCGATGATGCATAAGTGGGTTTTGGGTTGCAGTTTGGGCACTCAGTCTCTAAAAGGTTCGCCATCACTGCTTTATGATGTACACCACCCAGTCATTTACTGAGATGGATGGCCATTGAAATCAAATAAAAAAAATATTCCTCCCCATTTTACTATTGTGCTTTATTATCAATTTAATCAGTTGAAGAAACATTCTACAGTAATACCAGCACCGTATAAGTTCTAATTAATCTTAGAACCAAAAAAGCAGAGAGAAGCTTATGCTTTGATCAACAGCAGATCCTTCGAGACTATTGTTATACAATTTCAACATAACATAGCATTTTGTGATAAAAAATAAAATATAAAGTCATCAGTAAAACTTTAAATAAAAAATTTGGCCTACATCACCAATACTGTTCACTTAGTAAAATCTAGCAAGATGTTTCTTTTTTGCATGTAGATAAGAGTTCTAGAAAGTATTACATGACTTGATATTTTAAAATTATATTCTTGGAAGGGAAGGGAAAATTTACCATCTCATGAAGCAGGACATTGCCATCTTTGGTAAGCTTGATATCACCAGCCCCAGACACAAGCCTATGGAAAACAGAAAGCAAAGCAATCAGCCTTCAATCCCAGTTCCTTTTCCAAGAGTTTGAGCAAAAGGATCTGCCAAACTTAATTTACTAATATCACTATCCCGTGTTATAGTACAGTCAGTATGAAACAAAAATTCATGTGACAAGAATCACATCCAAGGCTCTTTTCTACTTTCAATTCTGGAATTAACTATCCTATTAATCAAAGGAATATTCTTCTGGTGCTGTCTTCTTCCACCAGACAGTTACAGAAACCAAATGTGGATGGCATAACAACTTGAATACTTTGGGAGTTGTGTAAGAGAGCTAATTTTGGGTGAGGTAGAATTATAAATCTATGACATTGCCTCAGACTAAAATTTGGCCAATCAAACCCGCAATGCTTTCATTCAGCTGACAGATGCTCTGCAATGCCATGATTTATAAACATGTGTTGATAGTTAAGCAAAGGACTTGATAACTAATAGCCTCTATGTACCACTTGTGATGATGTATTGGGAACAGAAGCTGTTCCTCAAAAAGATGTGATCAATCATTATGTTTCAAGTTCAGACTTGTACAAAACTAATTGGCTGATGGGGCAATTTTATGCACAAAGTCTAATTTATTAATCTGAGAGCCAGTGGGGTTAAAGAGTTGGATTAGGAAAATATAGAAGCTCACTGGGTGACATAGAACAGGGGTCCTCAACCTTGGCAACTTTAAGACTTGTGGACTTCAACTCCCAGAATTCCTCAGCCAGCAAAGTTTGCTGGCTTGGCTGGCTGAGGAATTCTGGGAGTTGAAGTCCACAAGTCTTAAAGTTGCCAAGGATGAGGACCCCTGACAGAAGCTGCCACAGAAACTCACTGGGTGACTTTGAACCAGTTGTTTTTTCTTTCTTTCTTTCTTTCTTTCTTTCTTTCTTTCTCTCTCTCTCTCCCCCCCCCCCAGCCTACTGTGGAAACAAACAAGAGGAGGGAGCACTATGCGTGGCATCTCGAACCTCAGGACAAAAAGCAGGATATAAATTGAATAAAGATTCACAGCTAGCTGTGTGGCTAAAATGAAGTAAGTCTTATTTGTAATCACTCTAAATTTACTGAGAAAGAAAATATAAATATTTTATACTTACCTGAAAGTTTATTGTATAATCCAGTGCTTGATAACAGTAATTACACGCACTATAAAGACATACTTGCTGTATCTGTCCTGCATGTCTCTTTTTTCAAATATAGGTACTGTCCGATTTTGTTTTATTTTTTTTTTTATAAAAGAAAGTTTCACTGACAATGCTGTGGAAATGCTACGTACAAAGGAGCATATTGCTCGGTGGGTTTGGGGCTCTTTCCGTGCTATTTTGCGCACGCATTCACTTCGCCGCTTCCGCCCTCGAGCGCCATGTGGATGGGTGGGGCTAGGCGTAACCACGCCTCTCTTCCCCAACCCTCAGCTCCCACAACGAGCCCCCCCCCCGCTTTTTTTTTTCCCCGCTGCCTTACATTTTCATGGTTCCTTTGGGCCCGAGATTGGTCCTGAGCACATCCTGCAGGCCCCGCGCCGCGCTGATATTGACCGCCAGGGCTGCTTGAGCCCGCGCTACCTCAGCTTTGGGATTCAGCGCCTTCACCGCCATCTCTCCCGGCTACTTCTGGAGGAGAAAAAAGAAAGGAGCGAGAGTACGCACGCTCCCGCCTGACTCGACCCAGGTCTGACGCAACGAGGGCTGGGCCTAGACGTCACAGCCTCCTTCATTCTAGAATAGTCCATATCAAGGCTTAAGCACTTGGGCTGCTATTGGTCCTCTGAAAGCCCGCCTTTCAGTCCTATTGGTCAAATA